AGGTCATCCACCGCAAACATCGCTGACGGCAGTTACATGAGTGTGGTGTGCCGTCTAAGAGAGCCAGCAAACGGAGTGATGCTTGCGACAGACACCACGCGGAACAGACGTGCTGTGAGGTGAGACAGTCTCCTCGGTGGTTGGTATGCGCCATGAGAACGTGTATTGTGTACCAGTGGTCAACACACGCCCAGCCCTTCAGCTTGAGAATTGAGTGCCACGTCCAAGGTGACAACACCACTGAGAGAGACAGACAGAGAAAGAGAGACAGCCAGACACAGCCAGACAGAGAGAGGCAGATACACATAGAGAGAGCGAGAGAGAGAGACAGGCAAACAGAGAGAAACAGAAATATGCCGGAAAACACAGTCAAGGAACAGACTACAGGACCAAGCAATGAGACAAAAGACGTATATGGTACTGTACAAACCTCGGAATGGTGGGTTCAGGCGAAGCCGTCTCACCACCGCCAACGCCGCCGCCGCTACCACCACCACCGCCGCCGCCGTCACCGCCGCCACTACCACCGCCACCGCCACCACCGGCGGCGGCCCACTCCTCTTCGTCGACATCGATCTCCTCGACATCCACAACCTGGTGGGCAGGGGCCGGTACCAGCGGTGGTGTTTCGATTCCGTCCACGGCGACGGCGGCATCGTCTCCGTTTTTTTCCTCGTGGTCCGGAGGGTGCTCGAGTGTCTCCGCCTCCTTCGTCGCCCCTCCACGTGCCAAGGGCTTGGGGGGTTTCCAACCCAGAGGCGACAGGCCATCATTGTCCTGGGGGGGGGGGGTCGTAGAGCAGAGAACGGGGGGGCTTCGAATGATTCTATGCAAGAGTCGTTCTTCGGTGTGGTTTGTTGGCGGCAGTAACTCCCTCGTAAATTGTCCCCAACGATAAAAGCCCCCCAAGACTACTGCGCCTTCTCCCATCCCCTTGACTTGCTGTTGAGGAAAGACGGCATGGCGTTGTGGCCATGACTCTATTCGGCATTGAAAGACACACGTGCCCACTACGCTACTGGTGCTACTTGTCACTTGGGACGGCTGCTGCGTGCCCCACCTCCGTCTTGGCTCGCTTCTTGGACGGCTCCAAGGACCACTCGTCGTGGTCGCTGTGTCGAACGGCCAGCGCAAGCGAAAAAAACGCCAAGAGCCAAACGGAACAAAACAAAATCAAAGAGACACCAGGGGACCGGGGGGGTGGGGGGGGGGGTGTACTCATAGTCGTGCATGCCGTAGTCGTTAGACCATTGACCTCGCATCCCTACAAAGCCGGGACGGAGCACGCCGGGTTCTCACCGGACCAGGCTCGGGGTGGGGGTGGGGGGGGGTGTACTCATAGTCGTGCATGCCGTAGTCGTTTGACCATTGACCTCGCATCCCTACAAAGCCGGGACGGAGTACGCCGGGTTCTCACCGGACCAGGCTCTCACATCACCAAGCGCGAAGCGCCGTGAGGTATTTGGCGAGTCGCATGAAGGGTGAGCTGCATCCTGCTAAGGGTGT